CGAATGTGGGGGGTTTACATCCGCTTCGTTCGTGCAGGGTTGTAGTTGTATGTATGTGTATCTGTATCTAATATGTATATTGTTGATGTAGTATGAATAAGATCTATTTATGGACTTGTGATCGTATTTATGTTTCCATATTAATAAATATAATATATAATTCGTTCTATAATTCGGATGATATTATTATATATTAAATAGTGTTTTCCAAATATACAACCAACTAATGCATTTAGAATTAATTCACCGTGCATTGCATATTTATTAAATAATATAATTATTTTTAATTTGAAATACGGTATAATAAAAATTATATAAAAAAATAGTGTATATTTATTAAATACTTCAATTAAAAACTAAAATATTTTTTCATTATTATTTTTAATGGAATGGATATTCGAATATTCTAAAATATTGAAAATTAAAAATAAAAAAAAACAACATATTGCTCTATTTTAATATTTTAGTATTTAAACAAATATTTTTTTTATGAAAATTATTTGAATATTCGTAAAAAAATTGAGTTTCATGAATTTATTTGAATAAATATATTTTGAAATACTGAAAATATAAATAAGATTTATTTATTTCGAATTTATATAATATTAACTTTGGAAATAATATATATACATGTGGTAATTATTAAATGATTGTGTAAATGTAAAATAGGAAAAAACTTAAAAACATCCATAAATAAAAATGCCACCTAATCAATTGAAGAATCCACCTAATCAATTGAACTCCAACTAAGCAATTTTGACAAATGACATCATAATTTGCCACATGTCAATCATTGAGGGCATAGATTCTCTTTTTATATTATATATAGATTGATTATTTTTTTTCACTTTTGAAATAGGAAAAAATGCTAGTTACGATTAAAATTATATAACAACATAGAATTTATAAATGTTCCGTTATAACGAGATAATATTTTTCTCAATTTGATGTTTTTTAGAGGATTCAAAAAATATATTAAAAAAAATCAAAATTTGGGAACTAAATTACATATAAATAATTAAATATAATATATAATTATATAATATTGATAAAGAGCAGGAATTATGAGCGTTGTCTCGAGACTCCGAAAAAGTCAAAAGATTCACTTTCACGCCAAAACAAAACAAAGCACATCCTCGTGAATGCCTACTGGCTAGCTACTGCCCGCACTTTAGCACTCCACGCTCACACAGGCGGCGCGTCGTATCACCTCCGGCATATCCGCCGCCCTACTCCATTCCCCGTCGGCGCAATCGTAAACCAGCACCAGCCCTTCCTTCACCCCCCTCTCCGTCCGCCCACTCCTCCGCAACAAATCGTCGATGCAACCCACCACCTGAACCAGCACCACCTTACCCCCCACCCCGACGCAGCTGAACCTCACCGTGTTGTCCAGTCTAACCTGCGCCGGCACCGGCGGGCTCTTTATCCTGCTCCAGTCTCCGAAGCTGCCGCCCTTCCTCGACGCGTTGAATTTCCAGAACGATATCTCCACCGCGTGGCTTGAGAGGATATACACGTCTCCGCCGGCGGCGCAGGCCGCCACCACGCAGCCGCCGCCGGGAACTGCTCGGCTCCTCAGCCATCCACGCGCCGCCACGTCGTATAAATCCATCGAGCTCGCGTAGACATGGGCTGCCTCCGCACCGGCGGCGCGTGAACCACACACCGAACCGTCATAATTTCCTCCGATCTTCAACCCACCAATTACATAAACACCCCATCGGCTGAAGCTCCAATGCAGCCGTACCTCCGCCTGGGCGCCTCGGTTACCACGCGCCACGCATTCTCATCGGGATCGTACTCCTCCACCGCCGACGATCTGGCGTAGCCGCCGGCACGAGTATCTCCCCTCCACAGCGCG